GATAAAGGGCCAAACATGTACATTGAAAGAATGACAGTCTCTTTAATAAATGGAGCTGGAAAAACTGGCTCGCTTTATGCTGAACACTAAGACTAGACCCATGCCTATCACCATGTACTAAATTAAAATATAAATGGATCAAAGATCTGAATATTAAAACAGAAACACTAAATCTATTGGAAGACAAATTGGTTAAAAACATTGAACACATAGGGGTAGGTAGAGAATTCATGAACAGGAATCAAATTGCATGGGAAATACTTCCCAGAATCAATAACTGGGATCACATCTTATTAAAATGTTTCTGCATGTCAAAAGAAACCTCCAACGTAGTGAAAAGAAAACTTACAAACTGGTAAGAAGAATCTTAGTGAACTGTCCCTCAGACAAAGGACTTCTGTGTAAAACATATGAAGAATTAAAAAAAAAATCAGATCTCCAAAACACCCAGTCCAAAAATGGGCATCTGAGATGAATACACACTTCTCAGATGAAGAAATACAAATGGCAAATAAATACATTAAAAAATGTTCATCATCATTGGACATTAGAGAAATGCAAATTAAAGCCACACTGAGATTCCATCTCACTCCAGAAAGAATGGACAGGATCAAGAAAACTACCAACAACAAATGCTGGAAAGGCACTTTGGTGGGAGTGTAGACTGGTGCAACCACTGTGGAGATCAATCTGGAGATTCCTCAAAAAGTCGGGATTGGAAGTCCCATTTGACCCAGCTATTCCATTTTTAGGCATATACCCAGAAAAACTGGAAACATTATATCACAGTAATACATGTGCACCCATGTTTATAGCAGCATAACTTGTAATAGCCAGATCTTTGAAACAACCTCAGTGTCCATCAACTGAGGAATGGATAAAAAAACGTTGTGGTATTTTTATACAACGGAGTATTACCTAGCTATAAAGAAGGAACACATTGAGATATTTATAAATAAATGGTTGCAGCTTGAGACCATACTCCTAAGTGAAATAAATCAAACTCCCTTGTATAAATACCGTGTTGTCTCCCTAGTATAAGAAATGGTAAGAACACGTAAGAGTTTTTTTTTTTTTTAATCGGTACCAGGGATTGAACTCATGACCGCCTGCTTGCAAGGCAGGTGCTTATGCCATTGAGCTAAATCCCCAGCCCCGAACACGTAAGAGTTTATGGTAATCATAATGATTCCCCATTACATTGCTTTGAAGCCTTATAAAGTTTGCATTCATTAGTTGGAATGGTTTTATCCTGGTTTTTGTTTTGAAGAAAACAAGACATTATAATAGCCAGTGCTGATTTAATGTTATCTTACTCTGAAGTCCTACCATGCTTTTGTTCTTCTGTTTCCATTGGTTCTATCATATTGTATCTTATGGGATTTTATTATATGTGATAGTTGAAACACATTTTCTATGGAAAATGAGATAATATATTAGCCACTGTTTATTATCTTTTATTTGGTTCTCAACGCTCTATAATACTTTCATTCTCTTGAATCATTTCATACTATCTTGCTATGTTTGATACTATTGTATATGAATTATGCTCACCTATTTCAAAGAAAGAGACATTATGGTAGTTACTATTAATTCCAGGTTGTCTTGTGGTATAATACTGTTGCTTACATTACTCTGTTCTCATCTGCTTTGTTATGTCCTCTTTTGTCTTAATCTCTTTAAAATAAAAAATAACCTGTTAATTTAATCTTAATTTTAATGAATCTCCTCTGCGTAAATCAATGTTTCATTTTAGTAAATTAAATCTTTGCCCTCACATTGTTTCTGTGTGAACCCAGGTAGCTCTTTCTTCCTCTGCAATAGCACAGGAGAAGGGTTAAGGAGACACAGCCACAACACTGCATAGAAGATAATTTCGAATCCTAAGTGACTAAAGACATTGTCTCACCTATTTCTACTTTGTAGAATGTGCTTTTAGCATTTCCTGTAAAGGATCTCTTGCCTTCCCCTAATGAGTATTGTCTTGAGTATATTCATGAACTGGAAATATGAAGAAAGATGTAGGAATGGACTCAAACAAGTTCTCAGGACAAATCATTAAGGACACAAAAAGAGTAAATCAAGAGGAGGGAAGTGAGCAACCATGGATGTCTCCTCTGTGTATCCCAGGCTCTGATTACTGAGAAATACAGCACTGAATGATGTCAGAATTTCAGATCTGAAACTGCGGTGTGAGATTCCAACATCCTTCCTTCACTGTAATGGACAAATCTGTGCCTAAGCAGAGCATGAACCCAAGACCTCATGGCTGTCCAGAAGAGGTAAGGATGCTCCCCCACCCTGTCCAAGTGCATCATCATAACACTTCCCATTAGACCTCAATGCAGGATAAAGCATGTGATTATCAGAGTTGTAAATATCTCATCAAGAAGTAATGAACCCTCATCTACTTATCCACTTCATTCTGCAGAAAAATTACACCATTATGTGTGGGGTGCTCCAAGTGTTGTTCAGGAAACAATACTTCTATGTGCTCATGGAGATCTACATGAGTCAGGAAAGCCCTACCCTCTGTGATTAGAATTAGAAAGTGTCTGAATATACACAGTAAATGTATTATCCTCAAATCAGTTGGTGGTGATTAATATTTTTGATTCAATATACTGACTAAATGGCTCACAACCACTGACTTTCCTTGAGGAAAGAAAATTTTCATCAAAATTATATTGATATAATTATATTAATAAATCCTCACAATGTCAAAGTACACAATCAAAATGGGCTCCCATAAAAACAGGATCAGTCTTCTCTGAGTGGCTTGGGGAAAATTTTCTTGATTGAATTTAAAGATGAAGGGTGAAGCTAGAACCTGATTGGTTATTTGGTTTCAAGGTCAGGTTCTAAGAACATGATCCCTGTAGACGTGGTATCACTTCTGAATGTCTTTCCAGAAACTTCAGTCTATGTTGAGGGAAGAAGTTTAAATTGAGGAATATCATGTGATGCTGAACTTAGAGTTCAAATTATTGATTGTGACACCACAGTGTCATCTATGCAGTGGAGCATTTAAACAGATTACCTCCCCCTTTTCCCCACATGCCGAGGTGAATATTTGCCAGGAAAACACAGGACACTTATTTTATTCAGATTGTCTTCTCTTCAGAGCTGCAGTATTAATACAACCTGGGTATCATAGAAAAGGAAGCATCCTGGACTTTGTGTGACAGCAACAAGGCAACAATATAAGAAGATCTCAGTAGACACAAGGAGCAGCTTGTGGGACAGGGAAAAGAGGAACAAGGCAGGAGCTGTGCTGCCTTCAGCATGGATGGTGAAACAACCAGAGTAGCAGGAGCACTGTCCTAGTGCTGAAGAACGCACAGGGACTCCGCAGGAAAGCGCCTCTGATCTGCAGCCAGAATCTCACCTTGACAACCTTCCAATACTTCATTTATTACATGGGCTCCCTGATCTGGGTTAAACACAACTGCAATTCAGGAGAATTAGTCTCAAAAGACACAGAAAGAATAAAAACAACTCTTTTTCCTCCTCCTATAGAAGAATCCCCCTATGCAAATTATTACTCAGATTCTGTTGTTGGGCAGTGGGAGCTCACAGTCCTCTGCTGAAACCTGGCTGGAGAAGGCAGAGCTCTGGTCTATAGAGGAGACATCCAGGTCTTTTCCTGTGCCTGTTGACAGCTTCCTGAGATGAATATGAGCACGATCCAATGGATCCAGTTGGAGGTTGTGAGAGCACGTGAAATTATGACATTTGTGCCCAGGTGTAATGTCCCAGGTGCAGCTACAGCAGTGTAAACCTGGCCTGGTGAATCCCTCACACACCTTGTCTCTCACCTACTCAGTCTCTGAATTCTTCTCCCAATAAGTGGTTTCTGGTGGCACTGGACCGGCTAGACCTTAAGGAAGAGGCTTCAGTAGGTTGGAGAAAGACTTTATTATGATGGTGTCAGAATGTACAACCCTTCTCTCCCTGGCTGCCTCTCCATCAGCAGAGACACAGCCAAGAGGCAGTTTTCCTGTGGTTGAACTGTCTGACCCTGAGGACAGGGCCATGTTTGACTCTGTGAGACACAGTGAGTGGTCCTCAGTGTGAGTCCAGATGGAAAATTTCCTGCAGAAATGCTTGGGACAAGCATCAGATTCGTAGGACAAATGGCAAACAAAAATGAAATATATAGTACTTGAAAAATTTGAAGGATTTTCTGTGTACTTGATTGTCCTCTCTCTCAAATCACTGAGGCACAGAATTTCCAGGGGAATTTTCTTTCTCTAATCCTACATTATGTTTTGTTCATGGCCATAGGGTTTTTGATTTTTAGCATCTACCTTATAAGAAGATGTAGTTATCAGTTTTCAATGAAATCTTTTATTTACAACTCAGGTAACTAACACAATGGAACTAATTGTTAGATTCAAAAGTATTTAATGATTTATGACCACCTGTTAAGTGCACATCTCCCATCCACCATCAGGCACATCTGCACATTAACCATTTCTATTGCAACAAGCATTCTTTGTCATGAGTACTTGCTGTAGCAGAGTAAACTTTGATGTTTGCTCAGCAACCCTGGAACCCAACATACTTGTGTTCAAAGCTAGAAAAAGTTCAAATGCTTTTCAAAGATGGAGCTGGTGTGCAAACTGGAAAATGTTCCCAAACCACTCATTTTCATGCTTCCAAAGCAGATTAATTTATTTGAAAAATACATATTATGTGCACGTGAAAAAAATTAGAGAAATACATAAATAGCACTACATAACATGATGAGATTTCATGTGGTATACAATCAAATCATAGCTACCAAACATCCACAGCACACTCATATCTGATGTGGGCACTGCCCTCACTGAGCTATCCATTAGGAGAATCAACTATATAGCAAGAGGGAATGCAAATAGGCCCTCCCTCTGTCAAGAAAACCAGCCCAGTCTGACCCCAGAGTCTGCATTAGAGCACAGCCTTGGATGGCCAGTAGTTGCTCATTAGTGATCAGAGCAGAGCACAGACGACTCACCATGGAGCTTGGGCTGAGCTGGCTTTTCCTGTTTGCGATTCTGAGAGGTAAATTTCTCAGAACAAGAGATATTGAGTTTCTCAGTGGACTTGAATGACATAAACCGGGACGTCTATGATGGTTTCCTGAGCAGGGTATCTCTGTGTTTACAGGTGTCCAGGGAGCGGAGCAGCTGGTGGAGTCCAGAGGAGACTTGGTGCAGCCTGGAAGTTCTCTGAGACTCTCCTGCATGGCCTCGGGATTCACCTTCAGTAATTATGACATGCACTGGATCCGTCAATCTCCAGGAAAAGAGCTGGAGTGGATCTCAGTTATCTGGTACGACGGTAGTAAAACGTACTATGCAGACTCCGTGAGGGGCCAATTCACCATCTCCAGAGACAACAGCAAGAATACACTGTATCTGCAGGTGAGCAGCCTGCGACCCGAGGACATGGCCATGCATTACTACTGTGCAGCAAGCACAGAGAGGGAACATTGTTTTGAACCCAGACAAAACCTCACTGTGGGGAAGGTCATGCCAGCAGGGATTGCTGTGGTCCAGGAAGAACCAGGCCAGGCCCCAGGAGCAGTTGCAGAGAAGGAAGCAGGAGGTTAGGGCTTCCTTGGGGCCTCTGGGGTTTCCCTTCTGAGTTAATTCATAGCACCTGATCCTGCCCTGCAGTGCACAAGGTGCAATGAAGTATCTGAATCCATGTAAACATCACCTGTTCCATGCAATTGCACAAGAATTTCACTCAATACCAATCTCACTACCAATTCATTTCAATACCAATCTCAATAAATTGTAAATTTTAAGTTTTTTAAACATCTAATCATTATCATTATCTAAAAAGGAACCTGATAATCTAGTCTGAATGATAAGGCATTGTATCTTGCATAATTAAGCCTTTCAGATTAGGAAATTAAAACTTCTGCATCCCTCTCCATTCTGTCTGAGACTATGCAGATTTCACCTCTCCAGAGCAACACAGGAGATCCAAGAGGCAGGTTCAGCTATGGCAGCACGGGGATGATAATTTCGAACTCTAAAGGGCTACAGAAGTTGACTTCTCTCTTTCTATTTTGTAGACTGTGCCCTGAGAGAAGTACTCTATGTTCAGTTGTGTTGAGGAAGAGACAGGAGAGTCGCTGTCACTGCCCACCCTCTCTCTATCCTATCATCACAATGTGCAGTTTTGGTTGCTTAGAGGACAGGAAACATTGACAACAGGAACGTGACCATAAAAGATCTCTGCGGACCTAGTGACCAGACTGTAGGGCAGGGAACAAGGAGAGGGCAAGACCTGTGCTGGCCTCAGCAGATAGGATGCAAGGACCAGAACCAGTGAGGATGTGGAGAACTGGGCTGGGCCTGTAAACTGAAAGGGGCTGAGTGGCAAGGACCTCTGATCTCATCAAGATGGAATCTCATTTTGACAGCCTTCTACCACTGTATTTGGAACATGTACTCTATTGTTAAACACAACTGCAATTTATGAAAATTGGTCCTGAGAGACAGGGAAAGTACAAGTGCAACTCTTATTTTTTCCACTTATATCAAAGAATACACATTCCCAAATCATTATTCAAACTCTAGGTTCAGATACCCATCTTGGGCTGTGGGAGCTCACAGTCATATGTCAGGTCTGGAATGGAGAAGGCAGAGCTCTAGTCTTTAGAATAAGGCTGCACTGGCAATTCACCTGTCTGAGGTGAATATCAGGGAGGTCTAATGGCCCCAGATGGAGGTGGTGAAAGTAGTTGACCAATATGTATCAATGACACTTGTCCACAGATGTCCCTGGCGCTGCTACAGCAGTGTGAACGAGATCTGGTGAGGTCCTATCAGACCCTGTGTCTCACCTGTTGTGTCCCTGGATTCTCCACACCACCAGTGCTTTCTGGTGTCTTAGGATCTGTCAAACCTCAAGGAAGAGGCTTGAATTGATGGGAGAAATAGGTGATGAGGCCGTGAGGAAGTACAACCAGTGTCCCCCTAGAGAGACTACATCTCCATCTACAGAGACGTAGCCAACAGCAAGGTCTCACACAACTGAGCTCTGTCACCCCTGGGAAACACACATAGGAGTCTGAATGTTGAACCCTGACCCAAAATTGCCTGCTAAGATGCTTGGTTCCAGCAAGGGGTGCATAGAACACATGGAGTACAGAAATCAAATTTGGAGAAAATGAAAAAAAATGAAGGAATTTTTCTCCACTTTATTGTTCTCTCTCCCAAGATAACAGGCACCAAATTTCCAGGGAACTTCTCTGTTTCTAATCCTGCAGTGTTGTGTTTATCTGGACATAGAGATTTTGTTTTTTAATATCTACCGCATGACAAGATGCACTTAGTAGTTTTCAATGAAATCCTTATTTACAACTTCGGAGAGTACATAGAGTAACTCATTCTTTGATCTAGAGATACTTATTGATTCCTGACACCCTGTTAATTGCACATCTGCTCCCTCTCATCAGGCACATCTCCTCGTCATCCTGTCCTGGTACACACAATCCCTGTGCTCAGCATGTTTGGTTAACAGTCTCTCTGTTGATAAGTTTGTCCTCACATGGCTGGAGGTACTTTTCTGTTCTCTGAGGCCTTGACAGAGGATAGATAGTGCCGCAAATGAGAACATTCACCTACAGGCTCAGCTGTACCCTCCCAGCCATCCCCACACTCTTTCTGCTTCCCACCTCCCTCTCTGTGTCCTCCTTGTGTTAGCCCTGTTTCTTTCCAGTGCGACTGTGGAACCTAGTCCATGTGCACTTGGCCACACTGCCTGAGATTATGAGCAACACTGGGCAGAAATAATTCAAACACTCCCTCCAATAGCACACCCATGGGACTATCACTTCAAACTAACTCAAAATATGAGAAAATTTAAATACATCATGTATGTCCAAGTCTGTCCTAATCAATGAGGCAAGATAACCAGACAACATTTTCAGCAATTCTGAAGCTGATGAAGAGGATCTTCCAGAAGTCCTGACCTCAGACCCAGCAAGAAGCTGCAGATGAATTGAGCACATGCAGAGCCCTGGGGAGACCCGTGCTGTGGATCTAAGGTTTGCAGTGCATAAAGGCTCTTGTTCATAACCTCACCCGGGTCTGTTCATCCTTGCTGACAAACTTACCCAGCACACCCACATTGGATTTATCCAGTGTGACAGGGGACAGTGGGCACTGTCCACTCAGAGCTATCCATTAGCAGAACTGGCTATATAGCAAGAGGCCATGCAAACATAGCCTCCCTCTTCTCGTAAAAACCAGCCCAGTCTGTCCCCTGACCCTATACTGTGTGAACTGCAATGAAGTATCGAAGTCCACATAAACATCATCAGTTTCATTAAATTGCATAGGAATTTCACTTACTTGGTAAACATGACTTGTCCTAATCCCAAAATAACTTGTAAACTTGGTGAGTTTTGTGCTTTTTGGAATATCAAATCGTTATCATCATCTAAAAATGAACCTGATAAACTAATTTGAATGATAAGGAATTGCTTCCTGCATAATTAAACGTTTCAGATTGGCAAATGAAAACTTCCACATCCCTCTGTATTCTGTCAGACACCATGGAGATTTCTCCTCCTCTGGAGCAACACAGGATATCAACTAGGCAGGCTCAGCCCCTGCAACAGAGGGAAGGAAATGTCACACCCTAAGGGACTCCAGAAATTTCCTTGTCTCTTTCTAGTTTGAAGACTTGTGTTAGAGAAGTTTTGTGTGTGCAGCTGTGTTGAGGAAGATGCAGGGGAGTCAATGCCACTGCAAAACCTTTCTCCACACCACCATCATGATGGGTAGCCTTGGTTGCTTAGAGGGCAAGAAACATTTCATGGAGTCCTGACTTGGTTCAGTCCAGAAATACCACTGCAGCTTCCTATACTCAGTCTAGCCTTAGGGAAGGAGATGTGATTTGAGCCATTTGTAGTTGTTGATTTGGAACTCAAGGATGTGAGAAGGAAGAATGAGAAGCAAACATTTCCTCAGGAGTATTGGACACAGGATAGGGAGGGAGGAGGTCATATGTTACAGGACATAGGTCCTTGTACTCACTCAAGCTGAGTGGAGGCTATGTGAACCTCCTGCACCAAGGGAATATTTTCTGAACATAACTTGCTCTCAGTCTACTGAATGTTGTCTGGAAGATCTGCTCTAACATTATCCTATTCATTCCTGGAGTCCTGGACTTTTGTGAAGCAAGTCCCTTCATCTTTTTGCATTCACTGTAATCATACTTTGTCTAGGGTCTCCCTTATGTTTCCCCTGTTTCATTTCATAGTTTAGAATAGACAGAGCTGGGGAGAGTACAGAGGAGAAGGTGCTGAGCTTGATGCAGGAAAGGCGTCATGGATTCCCCAGGGAAGGGCCTTTGGAACTGCACACAAAGGACTCTTGAGACTGCAAAGGTTATTCTAATACATGTAAGAATGCAAATGTGAATTTTGAGACCAGGATTAGGCAGAAGGCAGTCTCATCATGATGATCTAATATAGCACTGTGAGCCTCCATATGAAGATCCTAAGGTTGGGTCTGAAGCCAATCCTGAAGATCAGCAATATCTCCATCCAGATTTTTATGAAATGCACCCTGGAGAAGCCATTGAACCTCCTCCAAGTATTCAGAATGACTGAAAGAAATAAGAATAATGTACATTATACAAAAGTGAGTATCAGAGTTTAATTGACTGCCTACCCATAGGATTCAATGTTTGCCAAGGCAGTTGACAGCTGCCCCAAGAATGAGAAGTTTTTGATTAATTTCTTCATTAATTTAGTTGGAATCATTAATTCTAAGGTGTCATTTTGGAAGTAGCCAGTCCTAGTTTGTGCAGTTTGGATAGAGCTCAGGGTGGATCTACTACCACTGCTTCCCTCACACATTAGGGACAAGTCAGAGACCCCATATCAGGTGGGAGATGGGGTGATGAGTGTCCACTGGGTAGGAAACTCTGATAACCTGAAAACCTGTGTCTCTCTCTATACGGCCATGCCTTAGTAGGGCCTGGACACAATTCTCAGGCAAATAACTGGACCTGAGCTATGCATGATAAGCAAAGCACATTCTTACCATGTTTTTGCTAGATAATATTCTCAACTCATTCATTCCAGTTCATTGATTACAATAAGAAATCTTAATCTGCACTCCTGTGTTCAAATCGACACTCTTTGCCACAGGCAAGGTATGAAAGCCACCATGCCCACCCACATACTGGAGTCTAAGTCAGTAGTTATGATGCATGTTTCAGTATCCTAGAGAAATATTTGCTATCACTCATGACAATGTGGAGGATTCGGTAAGACACTGTATTAAGAAATATTATGACAAACCTATACAGAAAAATAAGCACGTTCTCATTTACAAGCAGAATCTAAAAATATTGATTACAGCCAACTGTTGAATCCAATGGATGTTAACTGGGGCTCGACTTTGAGGGTGGGAGAGATGTCCATCCCAGGACTGAATATTCACTTAATCAGAGGAACAAGTTCCTAAGCTGCTCTCTTCCACATGCTGAGTAGAGTTAGCACTCAGACATTATACTCAGTGAAATTTAGTGCCAGGGATTTAGCTAAGCAACACAAGCCCCTCCCTGCCAAGCACAAGGT